TGCGTAAAGTACAACCCATACATTGGCTGCTACATTACTTGCACGAGGCCTGCTATCGAAAGACTGTTTCAAGTAAAGGAGGCTCATTCAAGACCCTCTCACCTGGGGTCCATTGAGAGGTAGTGTTACCTTTACGGATAAATTATAGATAGGGTATTGCTAATACCATATAATGAACTGTGTAAGGGTAATTTTTTTTATGCCTCTTTCAGAACTTTGCTCTTTGGCTTTTATTTTGGCCACAGATGATGTTTATCTTGGGTAAAATGTGTTTGTGATAATGAAAGGTGGGCTGGGAGAAGGATCTCTGGCACAGCTTGACTAAAACTCGTTTTAGGGAACTGACTCATTCAATGGCTGCTCTCGAGGATCTTTGCATACACTTCAGAGGTAAATAAAAGAGACATATAAAGTAAAGAAGGTCTGACTGGCATCTCCCTGTGTTGATGTCTAGATAATTCTGGCAGCAATTGAAGATCTCGGGCTGTAGCTGAAGACTGGGTAGCTGCTTGTGCTGGATGAAGAGGCAGTCTAGATGCTGACAGTAGCTGCACAGCGTCTTCCTGGTTTCCTCAGCTCCTAGCACAGACTATGGTAATCATTCTGAAATCACTGCCTGAGCATCTCCCAGTATCACCTTGTTTTTCCCAGTGTTTAGGCATGGTATAGCTGAGTGATCATCCCCTGAGCCAGTATAGCTGGCTACATTTCCCCAGAAATGCCAACAAGAAAAGCAAAAAAAGCCCTAACCTAAAAATGCATTGTGGTGACTCCTTCCCTCCCTGAATAAGGAGAGGTAAATTCCCACTCGAGAGATATAATGGCAGCAAAAGGGCTAAACAGCCTCCTGAGATCTTGGAAAGCAAACACAAGTACAACATGTGCACAAACTAAGCACAATAGTTTAAAAAACTTGTCAGTCTAGTAAACAGAAGCAAAATTTGGTCCCATTTTCCTGCCACCATCACCATCCAGAAATCACATAGTGGCTAGAAACCAATTTCAGAACTACTGGCTGGTAGAAAGATGGTCTAGGATGTAGAGCAGTAAGACTAAGCTTTCTAATCAGAAACAGGTACTGTAGCTAATAACAAATGCTGCATTGAGCTACCACAGACAAAAAATCCAGCTGGAGTAAGGTCAGTTCTGCACTATAGTTAATGGGCAAACCTGCTCTCTAGGATAGCTTTTTCCAGGCTTTCTTGCTTTCCAGAGTGTGCTGTCCTCTGCACCTAAGGACCCACTCCAGCCTTCCTTGTCAAACACTCGAACGGGACACAAAGTGATAGCTACCTTCATAGAAAACCTGAAATTGTCCAATATTTCAGGTCTTTCACACTCTATAGTTAACATGGGACTTCTCACATCTCAGGCTGTGACTTAAGGATGAGATAGCTGAAACCTTCCAAACTTCCCAGGAGTGGGGTTAGAGTTAGCTGTCACCGTCATCCACATCCTTCTGTGACTACAGTTTGTGGATTTAGACAATGTGTACTCTCAAAAAGAAAGATTGGCTTAGATTTCATTGCTTTTACATCTCAAGAGATCTTGCCTAAAGTCAAGATTCACTTCATGCTGCTATTAAGAAAAAATTTTTTTAAAAGAGAGTTTTGCTAAATCCAGAGCAGTGCTGACCTGCAGAGCCCAGCTCCCCTTTAAGCACTGAGGTAGCAACAGTCTTTTCACTGGGATTGTGCAATCATATTTTAGAAAGGTTTGTGTCTTTATTCTCAAAATCTTGGAAATGTACCCTTGTTGTCTCTACATTTTTGCATGTTTTCCCAAAAGTAACTATCCAATCACAAGTCTGAAACTTAGAACGGCTTCCATGTCTTGCTTCCCACACCTCGCCTTTCTATTTCTCTGTTTTCAGTTAGTGTTATGCTGGCCTCCCTCTGCTCTGGCTTGTTCTGGGAGTTTTATGTTACCATTTTTATCACAAGCCCATCTATCTGATTTGTCTCTCTCACTTTCTACTAGAAACATTGGAAAGGACGCACAGACCAAGGGTGCAATCTCTTTTAGGGTTTGGTACTAGCACATACAAGGCTGCACACATGATGATGTAGACTTCTCATTCACCCACTGATGTGTTACCTCTTTGTCAGATGAGTAGTGAATTATTTAATTTTTAAAAAATACTACTGCTGCAGTTAGGTATTTTGATGCAGTTCTATTCATTTATCTTTTAAAAAAGTAAAAAGTCCTGTTCTTGAACCTAAGCAATTATTTCCTTATGCTTCTTATCTAAGCCTCTTTCGGTTAGAATTCTGTCTGAAAGCTTTCTCCTCTCCTCAACACCATTGTTACCTGTGTGCTTGGGTAATGGGACATTCTTCTAATCTTCTCAGCTTCTTTACCTTTTCCCTCAAATATAGCTCCATCCAACAACAGCTTCCATTTGCCATATAGCTGTGTTTTGTTTTGGCTGTTACGACGAAACTTGGTTTTTTCTTTTTCTTTTCTTTTTTCTTTTCCTTTTCCTTTTCTTTTCAGAGATGAAAGGTGGCTGCTTATCTCTAAAAACTTCAAGGATTGACACACAGCCCATAACAACTCTTGTTCTTTCCTGGGCTTTCATTACCTGAAACAGATGGTAGAGGAGAGGTGGAGTCCTGCAGGATGCTTTCCCTGAGGAAAGCAATTGCCTTTAGTGGCAGTTGGGCAAATGTCAATTTCTGACTCATAAGATGCTTCTATATTTAATTTTTAAAAAATATATAAATACTTATTTGGAGGAAACAACTTCTCAGACTTTCCTGCAGAATAAAAATGGCTGAAACTTCTGCCCAGAATTCTGAAATCAGCTTCAGAGTCTTATAATCCCACTTGGAATTGTCACAGATACATTTATTTGTATATTCTCCTATATATCCTCACATAGGGAAAAAATTTACAGAAGACCTGTGAAAACTCCTCACTTATGCTAGGAACTCAAAAAATGTTACTCTGATAGGTAACAAAGTCAGAAACATCATTAATTTCATTGAATATGAAAAATATGCTTGAATTAACATGAGCTTTACTCCGTACTACAGAGCTTGTGTTTATTCTGGGCCAAAATCTCCTCTTGTCCTTCTGCACATAATACTTTTGGAATATTTAAAAGAAATTGGTCTGTTCCAAATCAATTTGAAACTTCTTTAGAAAACATTTTTGAAGCTGGGATATAGCCTATCTCTTACTGTTACAAGACTATGATCCTTTTCTAAAAATGAGGCCAAAGTGTACTTCCTACTGTATGTATCCATCTAAAATGGCTTAAGCTTGTTGCAGTACACAGCTGAGCACATTGATCCAGATCTTGTCTATCTGTTGCTTAGAAGCTCAAGTTTTTGCAGTGATCTCTGTATGCTTTGTACAAGGTATCTGGCACAAGCTTCTCACTACTTAGTCCAAATTAACATCACTGAATTCATTTAAGTCATTTTGGCTTCATACTTGAGAAAGTGGAGACACAAGTTAGCCTAAAGTGTGATCTGCTACTGAGGCAATTTGATAATAAACACGTCTCCTCAGTGATGCCCTGGTGTCTGAAAAGTAGATCAAGCTCTGAAACAGTCTTAGTTCACTAATGTCCCCTGTGCTTCATCTGGAACATGGTGTGCAGTGCAAACTCGGTCCAGAGAAAGCATCTTGTTCGTATGAGTTGTTACAACTTTATTATTATTTTATGTTATTATAGTAATATTTTACATAATTAGTGCATTTTATTTTAATACATTGCTACTAATATATTAATGTCATTAATGCATTTATTAAGTGATAAAGAAAAATAGTTCTAATACTTGTCCCTGCTCTACTGAGGGAACAGCTTTGTTACCAAAGCCAGGAAAAGTAGAATCACATACTTGGATGAGCTGCAGTGGTGGAGGGGAAACAACTAGAACTAGAAACAGTAAATGATCTTGATTCTTACACAAGGCAAGGCTTTAAATCATTTTAAGCAGAAGTGATGACCAAAATCAGTTTGTAAGGATAAAGTCCAGATGTCTCTGAATTGTCATCGAGTCCTCATTTTTTCCTTACTGACTTTAGAAAGGAAAGAAATCCTAAGAAGCTAGAAAAGCTTTCAAAAAGACAATAAATTAACTACTGAAAGGGAACAAGGACTAGCCATACATCAACAGAATCTAAGACTTGGGCATAGACAGTCTTCATCTAAATTAGAGAAGGGATCAACTGATAAAGCAAAGAGAATTAAAGAAAGAAAAGATGGATAAAGACCAGACAGGTTCTGAAATAAACTGTAATCAGACATATTTGTTATGTTAGCAATATAGGATAATACCTTTACCTGGTGTAATTGGCATAGCAGTACTGCAGCTAACTGTGCTGTTGGTCCATGTGACTTTACTCAAACACTTATATTCACATTTGAATTGTAACATTCTTTCAGTGCCATAGTTGCTGTGCAAAGGCAACATTAAATTTCATGAAGTAGTTTATTTCCAGGCAATCCAGGAAATTAACATTTGATTTTTATTTTTTTTTAATAAAGGGTATTTCTAAGCAATCTAAGTTCTTTGATCCAGCTTCATCTTAAATGGTTTATTTTTGTAATAAAAAAGTGGAAAGAAATTAATTATACTGAACTTTTCACCATTCTCAGGTCTTTATTACAGCAAAAATCTCTAGGATACAAGATGCATCCAACATTCAGACCTACTAAAAGTTGTTTGGGGCCAAGGGCCAAACAAATGGGTTAGGCCAACTTTGCTCTTTCCTCACTAGCAACTCAAACATGCTGCACCACTTTTTACCCTCCCTCTTTCTGGTATTCCTCTTACACCAAATTCTGTAGATGGTCATCTTTTTTCTCCAGGCTCACTAGGACTGGTGGGCTGTACAGGAATTAAGCTTGCTTCCTTCCAGTTTCTTGATGCCTGCATTAACAGTGCTCAAGAAGCCTGGTTCTTCCCATAACTCTTCTTTCAAATCTGTGGGGAAAAAGCTAATGTGATAAAACAATAAATTATCGTAGTAAAGGATGAGTAACCTTACAGAACAAATTCTGGCTTTTCTGCAAGCTTCAGAGCCTCATGCATCCCTGCAGCTGATAGTTTCCGATTGATATTCCTATATCTGCATTGCAGTAGGTTGCGGTAAGTTGTCCTCAGGTCCCGATTGAAGAAGGCATATATAAAAGGGTTAATGAGAGAGTTTGCGTAACCCAACCATAGAAATGTTCTTTCAACCCACAGTGGGATACAGCTGCATGCTGTACCGCAGATGAAGGGCCTGGCGGTTGAGAGGAGGAAGAAGGGTAGCCAGCAGACGGTGAAAGCCCCAACAATAATCCCAAGTGTAGTGGCAGCTTTCTGTTCTCTTTTAAAGATGGAAATGTTTTTCTTGTCATGCTTTAGGAGTCGTGAAAAATTAGTACATTCTTCAGATTCCTTGTGCAGTTTTACGATTCCATTCATAGAAATCCCTTCCATTTCTTCTGGCCGGGGAAAACCAACAAACTTGTGTTTAGCAGCACTCCTCTTGGCAGCTTTGTAAATCTGATAGTACATGAAAAGCATCACTGACATTGGAATATAAAATGCAACTGCCGTGGAGTAAATGGTGTAGCCAAAGTCTTGACTGATCAAACAAACCTTTTCATCATTTACATTTTGGGCCCAACCAAAGAGTGGGGGTATAGTGATAGAGGCAGATAAGAGCCATACACACAGGATCATTTTGGCCATACACTTCCCGTTCTGCCTTACAGGATACGTAAGCGGCCTCGTTATTCCCAGGTACCTAGAACGATAACGTACAGTTACTATACAGTGCAGTGGTTCACTGATAAAAGTTATTTCACGTAGTCTGCCCTAAACCAAAACACCTTTGGCTAAGGTTTCTATTTTACGTTTTTCAGTCCTCTCTTTGCATGTATTTCGAACTTGTAAATTTGTGTGTGTCTCACTTGAAAATTTATAGTCCTGATATTCTGTATAAAAGGTGTTTTATTCCAGAAGAAAATCTCCCTTTGGCCATAATGGACTGCAATTTTAATGAATTTGTACAATTTTCATGCAGATAACTAATTTTTTAGCTTTTAAGGGTATTCCAAAACCTAAATTTTATTTGGCTAACTTATGAAATCTTGAAGTATAGATGAATGCTCACTCTGCAAACCTACCGCATTTTGTATTGAGTGCATGGTTAAGTTAAACCAAGCATGCATTCGTGGTTGCCACTAAACTGAGATGATGAGTTGTCTTTCTTACCTTCACGTTTCAGATGGGAAAAACAAACTGCAAACTTATGCCAAGAGTAGATTGTTTCAACACTACAATAATTCTTTTTATCATCATTTAATTAGAAAAAAAAATCTATTTAATATTCAAACTTTTACTGAACAAAATAACAATTTATCACAGTGTCAGTTCAAGAAGACCTGAGGGAAAAACATAATTTTACCAGAAGGTAAGTTTAGGGTGGTAAATTGTAAACAGGCAAGAAAAATGTTTATAATGTGTTAACTTTTCATAGGGAAAAAAAAATGAAGTCTGTTGACACCTTCTATTTTTTTTAAGCTGTGATAGCTTAAACTATATATTTTTTCCTAATTAAAAAAAAAAATCACTATGGCCCTATATAGCTGGACAGCAATATCCTAAGTTTGCGTTTACTCTCAACTACAGAAAATTTCTTTATTTCCTCTCTAGCAATGGGAAATTTCTCTTAGATGGAATTGGATGCTTTTTTTTACACCTAACATTTTTACTTTGAAATTTGGTTTCTGGTCAACTGGAACTTACCTATGAGTTACCGTTAACTTCTCAAATTGTTCTTTTTTTTCTTCCCCCAAATGAAAGCATTTTGAGAAAAATCAGTGTGATTCACTTTGCTACTCGGAAAAGAAATGGTTTCAAATCAGGTTTCAGAACAACATTTTGGTTTCAAGATGTACCAGTGTTTAGTTACACAGTGAAGGTTTTGGAGGGTTACAAACAAGATTAACGTGATTAAAAATATTTCTTTCTGAGCATTTTTTTCTCTCTCTGTTCACCTAGCAAATCAAATATGAGTATTTGCCTGGCTCTGTGGAATGCTGCACTGTTGATTTTACTGCAATGCAGTAAATTATGGCTAGTGCTGCTGCTTTATACAAGTGCTCAGGTATGCTACAGTTTTGGAAGGATAAAGAAGCATCATTTCATGATCTGTTCTGATGAGTAACAGCAATCCCTCTCAACAACATCATTGATTTTATATTACTGGATATGGCAAGTGTTATACAAAGGACAGAACTGGTTTATTGTGCCCTATGCTTGACAGCATGCACAAGTAAATTACAGCAGGCCAGTATTGTGCCAGTGAAGCTGTGCCTGGTGGGGCTGTGAGCTAAGGACAGTTATTAAAATTGGTTGGGATTAGAGCAGTGTGATATATGGACCATGCTATTACAAAGGCTGTTTCTTGTGGACCTCAACATCAGCATTAGAATACAGTCACCACACCAGCTCCCGAGGCCGTGGGCATACTGTAGAGTCCACAGAGATTTCTGTTTTACAGCATGATGGCCAAAACTGCACTCCCAAGGAGCTGAGAGTTTTCCAAGGCGCTCCAAGATGTAGACGAGCAGGGTTAATGTGGCGAAGTTCCAGCGTTTAACTACCTAAGGGATACATCATTCTGCTTTAACTAATGTAACTGCAGCAAGGCGAAGTTATAAGCTGCAGCCCTTCTGGGACAAGAGTGGCACACCCTTAAAATTTGTCTGAGAATAGCAGGATTTAGCTACAAAAGAGTTAAACACATCTTTTGTGCAGAAAGCTTACTTGTCACTTACAATGTGCTATTTTAAAAAAATCTTTAAAAAGTTGGTCCACCTTCCCAAAGTATCTATTTTTCTAGCTATTACCCAACTGGTCATTAAAAATAACACGTTTATGAAGTGAGCTTTATTATGTAGCTAAAAAAGTTAAACCGGATTTCTGTAAAAATCAGATCTGTGGGCTTCATGCTCTGAATGCCTACTGATGCATTCTCATGCATCAGAATATAACAAAAAGAATTCATGAAAGCAGAATTATACTGAAAAGAATTAAAATTCATTAGTTTTGCCCTGGCACTGCTTTTTTGGAAGCTATCTGAGCTTCAAAAATGCTATTTGAAATTAAAATACACTAATTAACATAAAAGTACACCAGCATCCTGCCTGCCTTATCAATTTTGCTAAATGTAGTATGATAGGGGGGAAAAAAGTCAGCAGGCGTAAATGAAGAAACTTTATCTTTTTATCTCTCTACATGAAATCCATTACCCTTGAAAACTTACTTGCAACTTCAAAATAATGTAAATCACTACTGTTGTCTAATACACTAGAGAGTGTCCAAGACTTAATAGATTCATGAACTTCAAAAGTGTTGTGTCAAATCCATTGCAAAAATATGCTTTGTAATGCTTAATCTTTAATTACTGCCTTCTAAAAAAAAAAAAATTACTAAAGGTAAATCAGCTGAACTTAACAGATCATTCTAAAAATATGTAACACCTTCAGGCCTTACTGGTGGGAAAGAATGAAGTCAAATTCCCTAAAAAGCCCATTTCATGTCTCTCAGCTATCCCCCACAAGAAAGAAGTGTCTCAGACTTGTTATTCTGAGATTTGTTTCTTTCACACGCCACAGATGTTCATTTTGATCTTGGTGGGGAAGAAACTGTGCCACAGTTCTCACTTGTTAAATAAGGGCAATGCTATTTCCTATTTTTCCTCCTCTGAGTTTCTTGAATACAAGGTTCTGCCAGACAGGGTATTATTCATATTATACCCAGCATAATGAGGACTATATCTAGGTTACTCCACAAAAGCACAGTATTGCAGACGCATGGCCTCTGGTCATGGCATTTCTTATCCAGTGTTGCCTGATGCTATATGCCGAACACCAAAGTGCAGGATGCTACAGCAAACAACTATTGGGCAACTCTATGAGAAGCACGAGACATACTGCAGTCATAGTCCTGCTGCCATTCCAAGAAGAAAGGATGCTGGGTGAGTGGAGAAAAATGAGAAGGGAGAACCTGGCACTAGTATCTAAAGGATACAATTACAAAAAAAAAACAGATGGTGGGAACTTTTTTTGTACCACATCACTGAAATCTGGAAAATGGCCCCTTGCTTGAAGAACTCAAAATAAGAGCAGACAATATAAACCAAGCAGAAGACACATGGTGAGGGACAGAGTGAATTTTGTCTTAAATGAGTGCACGTAAACACATGAGCACATCCCCATTCTGAGTTAGTTTCTTATGATTTCTTCAGTGTCTCCTCTTCCCGGTTGGAGGATCAGAAACCGACTCCTGTGCGGCAGTCCCGTTCAGCTGTGAGGTGCATGCAGGGTGCCCAGCTCTAGGGAGGAAAAATTATCCCTTGACATCCTTTTTCTGGAGGATTTCTTTCTCTGTTCAAATGTAGGTGGGGGTAAAGAGCTTCGTCCTTCGTTGAGTGCTCTGGTCAGCTATTGCGAATGATCGCCTTTTACCACATTCACCCACAAAACACCAACGATGGAAAAGGTAAATGAGCAAGTCCATCCTTTCTTTTCACCTAATAAAAATCTGTCTTCCTGTGATCCAGTATTCTTTCCCAGTACCTCTAAATTGTTGCAATTTAATGACAGGCAATTTTATAGAGAATTTAATGTGAAACCATTATAACTGTATGGGACTGCTCCTGAGAGCAGCTGGTTTGTGGTTTTTTTCATTCTGGCTTTTTTGATACTGATGCACTACAACAACCACACAGAATTGTTTTTATCTTACAGGGCTAAAAGTCTCCATTGTCATTTGTACTGTAGATCACACAGGCATTTCTTATTATAGTGTGCTCAATATATTAAATTTTACAGCAAGTGTTAGGATGCAAAGGATATGGAAAGTACAACGGTATATGGCAGAGGGAACAGCCATCTACACAGCCTGGTGTCTGTTTCTGACACATTGTCTTATCTTTTGTGACTCTTTGTATTCCCACTTCCCGTTTACGTTTGTCTTAGCTATTTGCTTGTGACAGCCATCATACGTTACTGCTTGAACAGTGATTATCAAACTGGACCACCACTGTGTCCTGCTAGATGTTACTATACTAAAAAATATGAAAAGTTTGATACAGTTTCTTTTCTTGTAAATATATTTATTTAATTCTCTAATCTAGGAAATTGTGAAAAGTAGTTTGCTTTATCTGCACTACTGTGAAGTGGGTTCACACAGGCATCTACTTGTCATCTTCTAGAAGAACTTTTCAGGAAGATCTTTCTCATAACCTTCACGTGAATAACTCTCTATTTGTGGCTGAATTGATTAGTAATTCTATAGATACAGAAAAAGATGCCAATTCTTCCTCCAAGAAGAAAAAAAGCAGCAGTGCCAGGCATGGTAGCGTTTCAGGTTAACCAGCCATGACTTTTTTTTGTTTTTGTGGCATGAACCTGATTTTTTTTCAGTACAAAGTTCATTTCCTTTTCTTTGTGTTTGTTCCTGAGAAAGCTAAATATAACTGTAATATTTAAGCTGTAAAAATGATGAATTGTTCATAGCTACATTGGAAACTTTGAGATGGGTCTAGTCCTCACACCTTTTGAAATATCCAGAAAGCAGACTGAGACTTAACAGCTACATCAACTTCAACAATAGAAAGAAAATAGTAATAGGATGGTCCAGTTTGGGATCCTGTGTCTAAAATCTTTCTTTATTGCCTCTGTTATATAGCTAAAAGATGAAGAAAAAAAGTAAAAGGGCTTGCTTCTCACTGTGAGC